GGGGGGCAATCCCACATTGCAGCTGATTGCCCAACGAAGAGGGCTGCAAGTGTGGCTGATATCCGGAAGGGACGCCTTCTGGACGTACCTGCTTGGTTGTGGCGTTTACAAGCTTTTACTCCACTTTTCCGGTAAACTGCTAGTGAGTTCTGCAGATGTGCACGCCACGCTGTCATCTGTCGGTTGGGCTTCGACTTGAGCCTTTGGCCCCTTTTCCTTTTGAAGACCCCCCAGACTCCATAGGGTGTTTCTTGAACTTTTCAGGATTTGGGAACCCAGGTTGGCGTGTGGCAACCGCTTTCAAGTCAGTACGCAATTCTATAAGTGTGTGTGTGTGAGAGAGAGTGCGCGCGCAGAACCTCCAGCACTTGTTTTAGTTCGGAGCATGGTAATGGGGGTAGAAATGAATCATTGTGCAACGTTGACAATGTTTAATCACGTCATCCCATCTTCTGCTGCCAGCCAGGCACACATACAGCCCGACATATACAGCTGTTCGGTATGGTCCAAAAGAGTCTTGAAGATCACAGAAGAATATCTGTTCTGTTTGTTGGTGTAAAACAAAAACGTAAAACATGCTGCGCAACCATGAAATGATGCGAAGCCTCCTAACTTCTCAAGCTTGGGGATCGCCTTAACACCATAATATATATATATATATTATATATTGTTATACATACTGTGTATATATATATATATATTATATAGTTATATATACTGTTATATATATATATATTCTTATATTTATATATATCTATGTATTGTTGTAATTTGTTATATATGTGTTTTTAGGCCAGCTCCCCTTTTGGATCATGAATGACGCTCTCCTCTCCGCTCGTCGTCTCCATGACTCGTCGTCTCGTCGCGGGCCTGAGGTTCCTTCGTCCACGTTGACCATCTCCATCCCTCCATCACCTGTGGGTCGAAACCGACCCTCAAAAGACAAGGGTGGCTATGGTGTCAACAAGGAGCAAGACATGTGGCCAGGATATCCAGGATCCACAAAAGTCTGCCCACTTGGTTCTTGACAACCGATCTTTCACCCAAAAAGATATCACCACATCACCAGCATTCCTTGCTAATCCTTGCTGCAGGCATTGAAGAGTCTCGTCACAGAACCAGAAACAAGCATCTATTGAATCTAATGGTGTGAGGTGTCTGAAGGTTATCACGCATGCTGCACAACTGCGCACGTTGGACTTGTCCAACCTCATGCATCTATGCCCTATCAATGATTCTGCCTTGAAGTCCTGAGGTCACTAACATTATCAAGCGTGGGTATCAGGATCTGATTCTCATACAAAACGGCACCGCCCAGCAACTGAACAGCTGGAAACACGTCTGCTCCGTGCTGCATCCAGGAGACAATAGCCCGACGCCATGTACCGCGGCTGGCCAGGCCGTGCTGCATCCTTCCAAAATCATGCCAGAAGAATGAGGAGTTTCAGAACAGGACTTTGTTCATGCCTGTTCATGCCCACACGTTGGATCCAGGCCACCAAACCTCGGGTAAAAGAACCGTGGACCAGCCCTCGTCTCGATGCAAGAGCAGTTCTATCGGTTCTATTTGAGTGGACCTCCAACAGTAGTGTTGTTTTGGAGTGGTTTCCATCACCAGCAGATTTCACTCCACCTGCCCCGGAGCATCCCATCGCCAAGTGAGCCTGCCACCCACCCCATACATGCCCTATGGTGATGGCAATGCTGTGAAACTGATGACAATGATTGAAATTGACGACAGTGTTGTGAATCCGATGATCTTAGGGTGAGAACGGTCTTCACCACGGACAGTGTTTGTGAAAAAATACAACACAAATCAATACAAAATAAATGCGAAACAAGACACAAGCACATATCACATGCTCAGGAAGCTTATAGAGGCCTGTCAATATGTCACAGCCCTAGCAGTCCTCCTGGTATAAAATGGATCTCCAAGGATCTGAAAATCTCTTGAAATCAGTATCCGTACACCAGTAAAGTACATTGATATTAATAAAGTGCATTGAAAAACGCTGGATACACAGGGATGCTCCTCTGCGTGGAAGTCAGCTAGCTGCTCGAAGAGGCAGCTGCCAGCAGTTCGGCTGCAGCCATCTGCTTGATATCTGCGGACAGTCGACGATCATCCGAGGGTCTGCTAGGAGGCGGTCAATTCCCGATCCGTGTTGTGGCTAACTTTCATGGAAAAGGCAAACTCACTGCTGCTAGGGTCTCCTCGTTCAATTAGTTAACAAGTGCACCGCTACTAGTAACAAGTGCATTGCTACTAGTAACCAGAAACTAATACTCGAAACAAGTACATTATCATGAGATTTTGACAACAAGCTGGCGGTCCATGTGGGTCGGTCTCATTCTGGTCGGAAACAGAGCATTGCACACGCCACGCCTGAAAGCATTGTATGACACACCTATCTTGTCGCAAGTCCTGGTCAGGCTGTTGGCCAAGCCATTTGGGAAAGATGTTTCTGTGTCGTTTTTGTCGATGTTCGATTCTCAGTGCTGGCTTCACATGGGGGAGGATCCATGAATTCCAAGCTATTCACACATGTCTGCTTCCGTCAACTGCCTGCCTTCCAGAGAGGTCGAACAAAGACCTGCCCAATGTCATCTAGTGCCACCATCACCGTCGTTGTCTCTCTTTGCAATTGCTTCAGGAGTGTCTTTAGCCCTTCGTGGGGCAATCAATGAAGCATGGCTATATCAACAAATGGATGTGGGGGATTTTGTTCGATGAGGCAACTGTTTGCCCAAGCTAACTGATCAATGAAACATGAATTTAAACCTGCAAGTACACCCCAGGAACCAAAGTTGAAGCGAACCAAGAAATAAGAGATAACCCTAAACCAGGTATTATATATGTATATATATATATGTGCCTCCCCCAAATGTCTACCTTTTTTGGTTTGCTAGCATGGTTTTTACTCAGCGCTGTCCTTTGATT